TTCGAACCCATTTAAAAGTGTAACGAAATACAGGGTATCTCTTTAAAAAAACACAACTTTGATTTGTGAAATTTTTTGAGCCACCCTGCAGACTTAAAAAAAAATCCTTCTGAAGCCTCAGTCATACATATGAAGAAATGGAGAAATTCCCGAAAAAAATCAATGGTTTGGGTTACAGGGACCGTGTCGTATGGGGTGCCCCACCCTGTATATACCCACTCTGTAGTGATGCTATTGCTTAGTCACATGGCTGAGCTTCTTGATCTAAATTTCCGGATGTTGATTTTCTGATGCTGCCAAGTCTGTTAATTAGACTTCTTGTACATTATGATGCATTAGGTGTTCCCTAGACTTCTTATGGTTCTGTGCTTGATTGAAATTGATGGGCTCTTCTGAGGGTAAATTGGACCGATTGTGAGAGCTTCTGTGATGTCATCAAATTGCTCTTTTTCCTTCGCAATCGGTGTCAAGTTGTAGTAGTTCAGGAAGTAGTAAATACTAGTTGAGATTCTGGCCTTTTACAGTTTTAGGAAAATAATTCCCGGGATGTCTTTGAGATTTTGGGATGTGTTTTAAATTCTTACCGTGAACAGTAATATAGGATGTGGCGATACTGTTCCTTTATTATTAGATTCAACTATACGTGCTAAAAATCTAGATAGGTGTTATTTCAAACACCTGTTGTTTTGGTATAAATTTGAATGCTTGGTGATAGGCTACATATAGTGATGTCAGTCTTTCGTTTATTTATACCTAGTCCTTTCTTTCAGTTTGACAGCTTTTTTATTGATTTTTTGGTGGACGGCTTTTGTTTTATATCGGCGTTGTTGCATGTAGTTGTTCAGTATAATACTTTCGATGTCAATATCGAAGGTGTCTTAACTCTCAAAACTTCCGTTGAGAACATCGATGGGCTCTGTCGCATTACTGAATGGATTTTGTTGTTACAACCTAATAATGCACAGATCAATGTTCCTTGATGTTTACTTTGCAATAATAATCGAAGATGTTTTATAACGCTCGAGTGAAAACATTCGATCATTCCGTTTGATTGTGGACTTTCCGGGGTAGTGTAGTGAATTGAAATTTTATGTGTATCCATAAATATTTGTACAAGGCCGTTTTTGAGTTCGGTGCCACTATCGGAGACAATGATCTGTGGCAAGGCATGGTGAGTGACAAATATCAGCAATCATTTTATTATATTGGTACATTGGCCTCTTGTAATGGATAGGCAATATAGGCATGTCCATAATGAATTCCACAAAAATAAAACTGATGCCTGCGTTTCTGCTATTCACAAGTCAATAGAAGACAGCACATATAGCCACATTATAATAGAATGAATATCTTAAAATTGAAGCACAGAATTCAACTCCACTATGCAGTACTCATTTATAAAACTTGGAACACAACAATATCCCAAAGAAGTTTTCGTGAAAAGGTCTACTACAAAGAGTACACAACTAGTTGGAGCTTGGAGCTCTATGTCATCCCTCGACATGAAACAACTTTCTTCAAGCATTATGTGTTTCTTATGTCGCGGTTGACCTTCTCAGTTAATGTAGCAACTCATTCCAGGAATTTATAGTCAATAAATTTCGTCAGAATTATAAATCGTTTTATTAATTATTATATTTGTTTATATATGCTCAGGTCCTGGCAGATTGTAATCAATAAGCTGAATAATGCTACTCATCTGCACCTTCATCTTCCTATATTCAAATTTGAATAAAACAAAGTGTGTATGTGGTATCATCGAAATTTTGTAGTCCTTTGTGTGTGAAACATAACATCGTTCAAATGTCCGCCACCGCTTCTCTAGGTGGAGCGCATCCGAAACGTCTAATTTTTCATAAATCAGGCATAAATCATGTTGAATTTGACCGATGGCATAGGTTATGTTGGCTTTGAGGACTGCTGTGGTTTGTGGCTTATTCGCATATACCTGCGACTTGAGAAAACACTACAATAAAAAGTCTCACGCTGTCAAATAGTACGATCTCGATGGCCAGTTCACATCACTTCGACGTAAGATGACAATGCCCTCAAATCGCTCAGAATACCAATATAGCATAATCTGTGTGGCACGAAACACCGTCCTGTTGAAACTACATGTCTTTGATGTCCAGATCATCCAATTCAAGCCAAAAGAAGTTGAAAATCACAGACCTATTGTGCTCGCCGTTGACAGTGTTGGCCTGGCCAACGTCGTTATTCTCAAAGAAATATGGACCGATGACACCGCCAGCCTAAAATCCACACCAAACAGTATGTATTTTCGGAATGCATTGGACGCTCTTGGATCTCACGTATCGTCCCAAATTCTACAATTTTGTCCCTGTTAAAAAATGTTATATATGTAGATATAAATTTTAATTTGATCTGCCTGTTTTGATATTTTCTTCGAGTTGATTATGAAAACTTCGTTTTTATTCTTGGTAAAATTGCTTTATAATGTTGTAATTCATCTGTGAAAATCTGATAAAATCTGTTTTTCCGTTAACCAGCCGTCGCTCCCCTATGAAAGACAACTCTCAGAAGTCGAAACTTGTGCGAGCTAAGGACTAACGAGGTTTCACCTTCTAAAGTGTGATTGCTATTCATTCACATTTATTCATATACTTCTTTTTTGTTGAATCTATGTAAAATCCATTCTGTTCGGGGTGGCCTGTAATTGGCCTCTATTAATGAGTTATGAATCTGGTCAACTGTGATGTTCGAAGGTATGGCTTATGGATCAGATTACGTACTTACCTAACAGGAAACGGTCATACGATGGACGCTCTTCTCAATAGTCATAGAAAAATAATTATATATATTATTACTGTCATACAGACCCGGATAGCAACCCACCGATAAGGTCAACTAAAATTAAGTTCGCAATATTTGAACCACGGGCCTCTAAGGTTACATGCCATACGACTCATGATGACAGGCTATATACGAGGGCATTTGACTTAGATGTGTAAGAATCGCCACTCGATATGTTGTATTCTAAACATTGATTAGCTGATGATTAGTGTTAAAATGTGCACTGATACAATTTGAAATGAATATAGTATATCTTGTCTATTCAGCTGCCGCCCTTTACAAAGGTCTTACCTTTTAATAAGCAATTTCTGATGCTATAATAATAATGAGATGAAATATCAATTAAAAGAAGTTATTACTCAATCTAAAACTTTTTCTTTTCTCAGAAAGAGATCTTTATTAAAGCCCTTATAGAAATCTATTATTCTATAATCATTGAATGTTATTTGTTACAATAAATCGAAAATGAGAATCTAGGAAGAATATTTTTTAAAATCAAATGAAATAACAAACTCAGTTACAACGCGATGTAGTAATGTAATGTTAATTATGCAAAAGTAGTAGATGTGGTATAGGTTGATGACAAAGTATTAGAACTATCTATAAAACAGCAACGATAGTTGCGTAATATTGTAGCCTATATGTGAAGTCAAAACTATGAATAACGCTATTGTACGAAAACTGTGGCGCGTACACCAGAAAAAAAGCATAGTTTTCATCACAGACTTATTTTTCACCTTCTTTTTTAACTGAAATCATTTGCAACAGATATGATAGGATTTCCATTTATTAACACATGCCAAGATCCATATTGATATTAATACACATGTTTTACACGGTTTTACTATATACAATTTGGATGTGAACTTTTAGAAAAAGCTGCTATGTCATGATATCCATTCTGAGCTGGATTCGAGTTAACGCCCGATCGAGCAATCAGTGCTTATAGGTATTATGGCACTGAAAGTATTCCACATTACACTTTCAAATAGGGTTCTGACAATTATGTATTCTGACAATTATGTTAAAAACTCTTTCCGCTCAGTGGCAGGGTGTTTCAGAAATATTAATAATAAACGTTATTTCATTGAATTGAAAGGAAAGGTTGATGTTGATATGAAAAAGGTGGGAATCTTCCAAATAAAGAAAGGATGCAAAAGTAATTCTATACAAAGATGTGTAGATTATGCAAAAAAGTAACTTGCAAATATAAACTGAAAAAAAACATTCTCGAAATAGCTACTTTTATATAAACATTGAATTACACGAAAGAAAAATACTTTCGAAACGAATACTTTTATATGAACACTGAATTATACAAAAAAACACTTTTCTCTATTCAGTCAAACATTCGTTATGGAACTGAATCAGATATCATTCACTGGATTCCTACACAATATAATACATGAAAGAAGTAAAATTTCACTCACATGGAACACTATCATCCTTACCGGTAGACATCCGATGTTTCGCCGTAAGATACCTGCCTTATTAGTTCTTCAGTACCAAATCTGGATAACATTATAAAAAACATACGATTCATTCGTGAACTTACAACATGCCACTGTTTGATCTACTCATATTATTAATGATGTCGTAATGACATTTATTCGCTTATTTGATTGAATTCCGTCCAAAGAAATCTTGTTTAAATTGAAAGGGGGTATATTCTCAGGAGAGGTTAATGTTTTAGGGAAAGAAAGGTCTTGGCTTTCTACTTTTCCATCTTGATATAAAAAAATATGGGAATCTTCTAAAGAAAGGAAGGAGGCAATCGATTTAAAAAAAAGTAGTTCTATAAACTATACAAAGAAGTGTAGATCATGCAAAGAAGTAACTTTGCGACACGAACTGGAAAAAAAAGCCCGCTCGAAACAGCTACTTTCATATAGAACACTGTTACAAAGTTCATAGAACACTAAAGCTGTTCACCAGCATCAACCAGAATTACTTGTATCAAACAAACGTCAAGAATAATATTGAGTATATCAACAATTTTTGCAAGCAAGTGGAATAGGAATCAAACAGTTTAGAAACGACGGAAATGCCTATTCCGGTATCAAAACAATAGCAGAAAATCCAGCTATTTTCAAAGATGTCAGAAACCGCTCGATTGAGGACAACTCGAATGCAGCTGGAAAGTTGCACCAACAACTATTGTCTGTCAATGTAAGAGAAGATAAGAAAGAAAGAAAAAGGTTAGTTTTGATATTATTTTTGTTTTGAATTTCTAGACTGTCTACAAGATTCCTGAAACCCCAAAATGGATTTATTAGGCTCTATTATGAATGCTATGGACAAACCTCCAAGTTTAACTGAAAAGGAAAAAATACTAAAGAAAAGTAAGTAGTATCAACATAACTGATTTTCAAAAATGATCCACAAATATTTTAGAAAGAAAAGAAGAGTTCGAACGTCGTCAAACTGAAGAGAAAGAAAAACTTCAACGCTTCAAAGATCGAGTTGAAGCTAAACTTATATCACATTTCAAAGATCCAAAAAATGTTATGTTGAAATTCGAGCCCATGGATCAAATTTGTAGAAGTATAGTGTAAGTTGATATCTCCTTTTTTAATAATAATAAAGGTTCACTCTTTTATTTTCATTTTAGACATGAACTAGCAGAGTCGTGCGGTTTATTGTCATACGCGTTTGGAACTGATGGAGTGGATAGGTACGTAAGGATATACAGTAAAGAACATCCACCTTGTGAAGATGAAATCGCAGCAAGGCGGAAAGGTGAACCATGGAATGAAGAAATCAGACGACAGTTGATGGAAAAGGTATTGTCAACAATATCATATTTTATGATTCAATCAGGATTTTTAAAATTTCTTGGTGAATACCTTTATATACCTAAAGCCCTGTTTTTTCCCCAAAAATGAGTTTTTTTTCAAGTATTTGAAAGAAACTTTCTAGGATTCCCTATTGATATTAGAAATTGAAAAAAATATTTTTATAGAGACATCAAGCAGAGCTGGAAATTCATGGTACCAAAAGAAAATCTGAAAAATTTACACCCAACAGTAATTATAAAGATAAATATGCTCACATTATAGGCCAGGATGCTGCCTTGGAAGCTGCCAGAAAGACAGAAACAAACAAGTCATATGGTTTTGGTTTGTATATTTTTTATTCAATCAGACTTTAAATTGTTTTGAATCCCTCTAGTTTAATTTTTTTTATAAAAATAATATTTTTCATGTTTCAGTGCCCAGTGAGAACAAAAAAGATATGAGATCAATTGAACAAACAATGGCTGATATAAGAGCTAAAAAAAGACAAAAACTTGAAAAAACAAATTTGCAAGATGATTCATCTGATGTTCCTTCTAATTAACACTTTTTAATTATATAGTTTTCCAATTAACATAAATACTTATGTAATTGTTAAGATTGTTGAGTATTATATTATTTTTATGTTGTGCATGATTTACACTCATTATATGATGAAATATAAATGGAGGCCTTTTTGTATATCTGCTATTTTATTTTCAATGCATATGCCATTTAAATGTTCCTGTTGGATTTTTTCCATCCACAAAATTGATGCTATTTTACTTTCAATGCATATGCCATTTAAAAGTTCCTGTTGAATTTTTTACCATCCACAAAATGGATGCAATTTTATTTTCAATGCATATGCCATTTGAAAGTTCTTGTTGGATTTTTTCCATTCACAAAAATGGTAGAATTTGAAAATTGATAGAAATCTTCATTCACATGAAGAAATGGCAAAATTTCTATTTCACCACGATAACTTACTGCTGAAATACTACGTGGCTCAAAAAGAAACGGAATCTGATTTTCATTTACATGCAAAATTTAATACAAATGACAAATAGGATATTTTTCTTTGAGAAAGGTACTAAACTGTATTTGCATAGTAAGTCATCAGGGTGAAAATATGCACTTTCTACATCTGTATAAAGTTCTTCATTACTATTTTTAAGCAATTTTACAAAATAATAAGTTGGATAATTTCGGGTGATGACAGTCATCACCCGAAGACGATTGTGGATACAGTGGAGTCCCGATAATCCGAACTTCGGTAATCCGAAAGTCCGCTTAATCCGAAAGAAAAGTAGAAGAAATGTATTGCAATATATACATAAATGTTTATATTTGTGGTTGTTTTTACAGTCTGAAATGAAGTTATCACAATTCTGAGTGATACTGCAGAAATAGTATGATTAATATTTCAGTAAACTGGAATATGTCCAATGTTGTATAGTAATGTGATGAAGTAATCCACTGGATGCAACTATGTGATGCAAATGTACGTGTTGATGTACAGGAAAATGTTACATTGGTTTTAGGCTCTGGTGCAAGCAATAATTTTGCACAAAAAACATTATATGTGCAGGGCATGATTTGAAAGTCTGGAGGCCTGGGGCAACGAAGGAGTGGAGGTCCCTTGATTTTTTTATAATTCACGAATACCTACCTGTTACTTGATGAAAATTAATAAGAATTTTCACACATTTTATTTAAAACACGTTTTGCTACACGGTAGTAGGAGATTCAAATCTCCTACTCACGGTACATATCTCTCTCACTCTCTCTTTCAATAACACTTTGTCATCAGCAAATAGGTATAAGATAATTGAAGGAAACTAGATACTGGTTTGATAATGTCGCTGGAATTGCAAAGGCTGCTTTCCAAAAGCTTGGAACACTATTCTGAACAAGAAAACTGTCCACACCTCAGCAACTTTTGATGGAGCTCTGCCCCTAAGCATACCCTGAAGCTGCTGGATTCCATCCAGAAAAGAGCCATCCGCCCAATTGGAGACGCGAACATCACTTGCAACCTTGATCTGTTTAAAATCTGTTTTTCCATTAACCAGCTGTCACACTCTTACGAACGACAACCCTCAAAAGTCGAAACTTGTGCGAGCTAAGGACTAACAAAGTCTTCCCTTTTAACATGTGATTCTTAACACGGGTTGGACGATAGCAAGTGAAAATTGATCGTTCAGCCTGGGGCTTAACACCAGCGACCAACACGGCGATCGATTTGAGTGAGTAAACAAAGCACCCACGTCGAACCGACCGGCTACCGACCGACCGTCTGGAATATCGAAGAACCTGTAGGAGATTTTTCTCTCTTATATAGATACTTTCACGGGAAGTGTTCAAGTGATTTGGCACTTTGGCACATTTGATTCCACTAAGAGCGGTACATATCACAAATACGCGACAGACTGTGGCGGCTCATCTTTTTGAGGTTCAACTCAGTACATCTCGAACTTCACTGTAATTGAAAACGTTTTTCCAAATGGATTTAATCTCCAGCGATTCAAATCCAATGTAATGCTACTTTCGCAGAGGCACCGCTCTTAGAGCGCCTTAAGGATTTTCCTGTAGTGCTTGTGTTTTGTCCTTGAAAAAAACTTAACCAACAACATGTTGGTTAAACCAACAAATTCATTTTTGCCAGAGCCCAAAAATTTCTTGAATACAAAACAAACCTCCTTTGCTAAAATACTTTTGGAACATATAATACATTTTAACTTCACTGAACAGAACTGAAAGAAATAAATGTTAAAATTGGGGAAAATAACGAAGGAGACTACTTTCATATATTTCACAATTAGTAATCAGGAACATTATGATTATCAGTAGAGTAAGTGATTCACTACAAGTAATTGAAAACTAAAATTACTTAACTGAGCTACAATATTTCAAACTGAAAAACTTGATTGAAAATTTCTCCTTTGAGAAGTAAATCAAATAACTTCTAAATTTTCAACAGTGCATCTATACTACTGGAAATTAAAAATGAAGGTTATTTAGAGTGAGTCATCAAAGTTTCCTTGGTTCAATGCTCTCGTGTTAATGACTATTTCATTTTGTTCAGCTTTTTTGCATAGATATTATTCAGTATAAAATTATATTTTCACACTGATAATTTAAATGCGCATAGCTAACCGAATTTATACTTTTTTGATGGTACACCCAGTATATACCTAAGTACATCTTTCGATTACATATTTTTCAAGCTAATATTTTTGGATTTTCATTGTGGCATTGCTGTTATTGAAAAAATAATGTAGTCTAATCTTTGAAAAATCTTTAAATGTTTATAGCAATTAGTAATAATTCAATTCTTTCTAATAGGACACCCTGTATTTTTCCATTTGGGTGACATATTCCAACACTTCCCTACTATTTTCAGTTGGAATATCCTATTCGAAAAATCAACCTTTTTCTTATTATACCCAGTTTTAATATTTATTGTACCAGAATAAAAAACATATTCTCACATTCTAACTGAACTTTTTTTTTTCGAGTAGTACAATAGCATTATTTCATTTCATCTGGTAGCGATTTTCACCGTTTTTAAAGATAACTGCAGAAACAACCTGAGAAATATCTATTCTGCTTTTCTCTTAACTGGCTTCGAAAAATCATTCCCAAAACAGAATTATGCATTTGAGAATTATAATATCTTCAGACTGCCAGTATTTATTCCGAAAAGGTAGAAATATTGAAATGGCGATACTAGATCTTAGCAACAAAATAACAACTTTTGATGTACCGCGAGGATCTATTTTGGGACTTCTATTTTTCATGATTTTCATGAAAATGCCAAAAAATTGTATCTGAATAAAAACAAAACCCAAAACATGGTATTCATCCTAAGAAATATGGAAAATTACTCAAATTCGCAAAGTAGTGTGAAATTTTTGGGAATTAAAATGGGATCATCACGTAAATGAAGTATCAAAAAAACTCATGAGAAATATATTTTTGTTAAGAAACCTCATCAGGCAAGTTTCAAGTCTTCGAACGGCATATTTTTCCTTGTATGAATCCATTATGGTATTGTCGCCTGGGGACATGCAACAAACTGTGATAGAATATTCCGACACCAACGGATATTAGATATATTAGACAATATCGACTACAGAGATGAATGTCGAAATTCATTTATTACATTAAAAATACTAATCTTTCCTGCTCTCTATATCATGAAAAATTAAATATAAATAAAAAATAAACCCTTTTAAACAAATACAAAACATATAAATCAACATACATTTTTTCAATATTGCAATTCAGTTGTGGTACTTCAAAAAAGTCAGTGGTTGATATATTTTTAAATTATTTTGCATCATTGAAGCAAATTGCAAAACGACAATAAAAAACAAATCAAGTATGATGGATTGAAACCAGATTTTAAATAATTCAATAGATGAAAATTCTAGTATTTGTAGGTCCTTTATTATTACCATTCTACAATTAATAATACACTATTTCATCAGCAGAAAAAATAATGTTTTGTGTGGCGAGCATGAAGATTGACGAACAACCTCTAGGTGAGCCTGTCAATTATTCGACCTACACGAAACTATTTTCCAATAAATCAACTATTTTTCTTCAAACGTGGAAATATCACTAGAAAGTGATATAAATCAACTAAAATTGGCGACACTAAAAACTATCACTTTTAGTGACACATAGTACATAAAAAAACAGATGAGAATATCAATAATTACAAAGATAAATTTTGAAACTGCTGGATACGTTTGATTTTTAAATTTACTTTAAATTAACAAAATCAGTCAATTTTTTCATTGGTGGAACAATAATTCACACTGATCTTAAGCAAAGTATTACACTTTTATTTTAAAAAGAGTTGAAGTAGATTATAAAAAATCTGAAGAATAAACAGTTTTGATATTTCTTGTAGAAGGAGAAATTCCCTTTGTTAATGCTGAATACTCTTCCTGAAGTTTGGAAAGAGTAGAACATTCATAGCCAACATGATCCTTATATGTTTTTTGGGTAACTTCCAGCAGGTGTACTAATAAAAACTCTGCATTTTTTGTTAGAAACTGCCTTTGCTGAAAAATAAAGTATACAATACTATATATGTCGAACTATAATTTCTTTTCTTAGGGTTATTTTCTGAAATTTCCGTACATTTTTGTAAGGAAAAAATGTGAGGAAATATTACGCTCAACAAATACTACTTACATCTTGATTCATTTCAATTCGAAGGGAATTTTCATTATGTCTCACTTGGGCCTCAAAAACACTATAAAGCATTTCATCGATAGTAAACATCAATTCATTGGTTTTTAACTTCAAACAATCATTCAAAAATAGCAGGAACATTTTAGTGAAAGCTAATGTACTGGGTGTGAGTTGTAGCCACGTATCACCTACAGAATTCGGAAGCAATTGTTCAGTATATTCAACTCACTTATATCAATATTACCTGTGATGTAACTCTCTAAATGAAGACCCATTTGGGCATGCTCCTGGAGACACCTCGCCAGTGCTGACTTTGAATGCAAATTTATTGGAATCCACTTATCGTCAATAGCCCTCAATTTCACTGAATCAATAAGTTTATCTCTGGCATCCTTCAGAGCTTTCGTCAAGGAAGACATTAACGATCCATCCAGCTGATAGCACAAATCAACTCCATAACTATAAAGCTGTGAAAGACAATTTAGACCGTCAAAATGATACATATATGGGTCATTCTTATTTTCAGGAAAACAATTTTCAGTTTATAATCACCTCTAGAAGAAGGTATACGTCAAATTGAAGATACCACTTGAAGATACCGAGTCATTGGTGCCGAATCATATGCATTAACTACACAAGTCTTTTTTTTTTATTTAATTAATGCTGTCTAATACTACTTTTGTTTAAAAAGAGAACATTGCCACTTGAGAAGAAAAAAGATATGGCCACTTTGTTACAGTAAAGTCTTTCCCTCACCTTGTCCCTTAGTACAAAAATATTACTAAAATGCCTGTTCAACTGAAATAATTCAAAATTTCTTATTAATGAAGTATTGCAAATAAATTAGAGAGATGTGTGTTATTCTATGTCAAAACATTCATTATACAACGACGAATTTATAAAAATGATAAAAAATAAAGTAAATTTTCTCCTAAATAATATAAAAGATCCTGAGATTGTGAAGAAGAAATTACTTTCAAGGGAAGCGTTAACAAGAGACCTAGAGACAAGTTACGACGGTCTTGCAAAGAAACATGAAAAAAAGAAAAAGTATTACGAAATGTTTAAATTCAAATCACTGTAGAAATACAAGTTAGTTCATAAATGAAAAGGTTTTTTCAAAAATGATAATTCCAAAAGAAAAAGATGAAAATTCAAGAATGTGCCCGGGTAAAAAAAACTATTTAAAATCCATCGAAGGTAAAACACAAATAAAGCGTGCTTTATATGATACATTGCATAATTTACACCAAAAGTTTTTAAGCACAGTTAATTATAAGATAAGTTTATCAACCTTCTGCAGATTCAGACCTTTTTGGATTACTTGGCAAAATGTTAATGAACGAAATACTTGCCAATGCATATAGCATACCAATATTCAATTGATGATATCGAAATTGCATGAAGTCAAAGCCTTGAAATTTTGTAGCTTAACTTCAGCTTTATTTAGCGACTATAACCTGCGATGTGCATTCCACAAAATATCTATTCAGAGAATGTTCAACCTGCAAGGAACGTTCCTTAGAATACTACTTACCAATGCTTAATCAGTTGGTGACTTATCGACAATGGATTTATGAAGTCAGTTCATTTGAAAAGGACGGTAAAAAAAAGTCAGTTTGTAAACCCGCGAAAAAAGAGTATAAGGTCAAACTGAAACAATTTGTTCGAGCTCTGGAAGCAGCATAACCGCTTTTTTATACACATGTTGGCACTATAGCACATCAATATCAAGCCATTCAAAATATAAAGAAAAGTTTGACAGTAAATGAAATTCTGATTCGTGAAGATTACAGTGAAAATTATTGCTGCAAATATAATGAGGAAATACAAGCTGTTCACTTTGGCGGAGGAAGGCAGCAGATAACGATGCATACTTGCGCAATGATAATGCAATCAAACCCGTATCTTTTTGTTCTCTGTCTAGCGACAATAGACACGACACAATGGCTGTTTGGGCACATTTGAAACCCATTTTTGACTGGATAAAAGCACAACATCTACCTATTTCCCGATTAATCTACCTATTCCCTGATTACATATGTTGAGTGATGGGCCCGTTAATCAATATAAAAATAAATTCATGTTTGAAATGTTATTTGCCATCTAAAAGACCTCTATCCAGAAATCACACACTTTTCATGGCATTATTCTGAACCCGGGAACGGTAAGGGAGCGCCTGATGGTGTCGGTGGAACCCTGAAACGGACAGCTGATAAAGTCGTAGCAGAAGGCAATGATATCGTAGACATAAATTCATTGAAACCTATCCTTCAATTTAGATGTCCTTCGATTTCATCGTTTGAAGTCACCACAGCAGATATTTCCTTGATGGATGATCTCATAAAACAGTCTCAGACCATTCCTACATTCCGGGGAACTCAAAAAATACGCCAGTTCGTTTTTTTCAACAACACCTTAGAGTACAGGAGACTTTCATGCAGTTTGCAAAGAAGATTGCACCCACTATCATTTGGGATATTTCCAACAGCACCTAAGTAATCGATTTGCCAATGAGCGCAACTAATCCTCCCAAATATCAATGACAATTGATACAATAAATATAGATAATTATAATCACGAACTGTCTCTACCGTCTTCTTCGCGCATTCAAGATCACCCTGGAATATTCAAGGAAAACGATACAATTGATTTAGAAAAAGATAGATCTACTGTTGTCTCAGACACTGATAAAATTGCTACCATTGGAGATCATGTATTGATTAAATGGGACATGGCGAAGTATCCTGGAGAAGTTTTATCTGTATTTGAAGATAGTTTAATAGTTAGGTGCATGAAGCCAGGTTCAAAGTTTTGGAGATGGCCTAATATTAAAAATGAGCAAGTATAAAGATGGGAAGACGTGATACAGAAAATAAGGACGCCAAAGTTAGTTAAGAAGGGAAATTATGTTATAACAGATATAGATGAGAGTGATGTGAAAATTAAGACTGATTAAAAATCCTTTCAAATCAACGCATCAAGTCTCGGCAGAAATGGATGTTCACAACTGCAGTTTGAATAGAACTGCAGCAGTTTGAGTGAAGTCTAGATGATGATAGCACGACCAGCTGTCGAAAGCGCTCACATATAATTAAATAGGAGTAATAAAGCTTCAAATCCTTTTTGTGACTTATATTAATATTCAAATACTGAAAATAAAGGAAAATTTGTTGCATCATTCACAAAAATTACATCCAGGTGATCCTGAGAGAAGGATGGAATTTTGTAGCTGGCTCTCGAAAAGAATAGACCCTACAAACTTCTTGAAAAACATTATTTGGACCGACGAAAGTACTTTTTGTAAATGTGTTGTTGTGCCATAGTGATAACCAGAAGACGAAACGTCGGATAGCAAATCGAAACATGAAAACGTGTAAAAGTTACGATGAAAATGTGTTTTTGGTTTTGAGCTATGTTGACAAATAACGCTAGAAAAAAGTAAAAACGAAAATTCCGATTTTCAGGTTTTTCCGGATATTTCCGGAAATACTCGAAATTTTACAAGTTTCAAAACAATATTTTGTTAAGCACAAAGAAGCAACTTTGCCCCAATTTAAGCTTCGACGTACCTCCTGTAGTTTAGATGATCCCAATGGTGGGGGTCGAATTGAATTACCCTGTATACTGATCGATAGAACATTTTTGTACACTTTACAATTATTATGCTGTTCATTTTTTCCAAATTTCATTTTTTTGCCTCTTTTCAGCTTAATACTAAATGATATCGTTAAACGATGTTCGGTCAATTTTTCTGTACGAATTCAATGATAGTGGTGAACGCACCGTGCGACGTTGGTCTGCGAAATTGCTTTCCGAAGATTTTAGCCTCGAAGATGAGCCCCGAAGTGGTTGACCTACAGTAATCCAGGAAGAGAATTTGAGGACCCTGGTGGAGACTGACCCATCACAAACGTTGCGTGGGATGACGTAAGAACTGGGTTCAGCTCCCATGCGTTTGTAGATGGTTAAAATGTATTGTAAATGTCAGAAAGCTAGAAAACTGGGTGCCTCACGATTTGAACGATGGACAGAAATTGTCACGTTTCGAGGTCTGTTCTTCTTTCCTTTTGCAATCCATTTTTTGATCGGATCGTTACGTGTAAGAAAAGTGGAGCCTTTGCAACAACAGGAGACGTTCAGGACAGTGGTTGGATACCGATGAGTCACCGATGAGCACTTTCCAAAGGCAAAAACCCACCAAAAAAGGCCTGTATGGTGGACAGCGGCTGGTGTCATTCATTTCAACCTTCTGCAACCGGGCTAACCATCACAGCAGAGTCCTATTGTGAGGAAATCGACAAAATGTACGAAAAATTTGGTTAGCAGCATGCGGCACTGGTCAACAGAAGAGGTTCGATCCTGCTCCACGACAACGCCCGTCTGCACGTTTCACAAATCACCGTCCGAAAATTAAACGAATTGAGCGTCGATGTTCTGTCTCCCCACCATACTCTCCAAACCTCTCGCCAACCGACTACCACCTTTTTAAGCACTTCGATTACTTTCTCACCGGTAGAATCTTCGCCAATCAAGATTAGGCAAAAATGGCCTTTATCGACTTCATCGACTGCAGAGCACACAATTTAAATGCCGACTGATTGAATAAATATTCACTGAAATATTACAATTCAAAGTAGGCTCATAAAAACGGACAAAACTTTTGAAGCAACCTAATACAATAGGTTTTGTGATGTATATCATCTGAAGTAATATTTCATATCAAAAATGGAATTTACTTGTCACCAGTTACATAAAAAATGCAAGTAAAAACATATTGTTTTGGATATGATTGAAAATTTTTCTTCCGAATGTTATAAGTTCAGACTCACGCTGTCTGAAAATGTTAACAGATTTTAATCCCAAAAAAACATGAAAGAATGAAGAAAAAATACAAGAAAAGTCAAACCAAAATATTTCAATAAGTCAGAAGGGGAAATAATATAAAACATAGAAGAAATAAACAACAAATTTGAAATATAACGGGTTGGAAAAAAGTTTCGATCATCGTTTGATGATGATGAAACACCAGGAACTGTTGTCATCCTCTAAATAAAGGAATTCGATACAAATGAAGCTTCTGCAAATAAATCTAGAAAAATGGGGAACTTACCCTTTCACATTGTGTCCTTATGAATACTACACATTCAGCAATTGTTGAAAGCGAAGTTTGCGGCATGAATACTTGTTTTATAAAATGGGTTGTGAAAAGAGACAATTCACTGCTGGCCCACATAACATATGCTGGTGAAAAAAAAATTGTTGAGGAATTTTTTGTTGAAATCATCAGTAGGGTTAATTGAATTAGCATCTGAATGTCAGTTTGTGAACCGATTCCAACCATTTGATGATGGTTTTCCATGATTATTGCGTAACTTGAGAGTGGGAGTGTTCAATTGAAAGACTAGACATCTGCAATTATACAGAATATTTAAACAAAAAATCATACTTTTAATGGCAATTCGATTTATTATCTTTCTAATAAAAAAGAGTTTAATTTCTGGTGATGAAATTGATTGCTATTATAAATATCTACCTAGGTTGAATAAAGTTATCTAGTTTTCTATACTACATATTCATATGTATTGTACTCTATTTTTATCATGGGTATGTAAGTAATCATATGTATCCTGAATGTGTATTGTATATGCAGTTTAGATAAAGTTTGGTAGTATACTTATTTTATATTATATTTCTCAAACTAAAATAGGTGAAATTTACATATTGCGAAAAAGAAAATTTCAAAAAGAAATCACAATTTCAATTCATATGGTTGAATAAATGAAGACACTGAAAAATTGTAATCTTTACTGTTCTCGTGGAAGGTTACACATTCAAGAGATTATTTCAAGATATTTGCGGATTGAAAAATCTATTGATCCCAAAGATAGCATCTTGGTATGCCTTTTCTGACTCAGGCTTGTTCTTTCAAAAAAAGTAGATCCATGGCTGGTCAAAACAGTGCTTCTGGTATTGAATCACGAATGATTTGTGTTTAGGCTTAAATTTTAACTAGTTGTCTTTCAGTGAAAGCTGCACAAAAAGACAAAGGAAAACTATAGAAAAAATGAAATAGTTTATGAATGGGAGAGTCGGTTGGTTTCCTTCTCCTTGTCCAAAGTGCAGGAAAGAAATGTTAGCAAATTACAGTGGTGACTGAATCATTATTCACCTAGATGTACAACTTTTGATTATAGAGGTGATAACAAAAAATTAAAGACGACAGAATTCAACACCTACATTGATTGATATTTAAACTACTAAATTCGCCTACTATAAAAAGGATTGACCATTCAATAAAAATGAATAAAATATTTCAGTTTTCATAAAGTCCTTTTTGAATAAAATATATTTGAATATGCTGTGCATATGTTATTTATGATATCTATTGATTGTTGAAGAAAAGTTAAAATGATTTTTAGTATGAAAAAAATTCTGAATTTCGAATCAAAGAAAACAAAACATGTGGTTGAACAACAACTAAATCAACATCCTTTCAATAAACACGAAATAATGAAAACTATTTTTATTATCAATTTCCAATAATTGTATACCTATTTGTTTCCAACAGTTAAACATAGTGAAAGAAAAGTCATTTCTGAGTTAGATAATCTGAGACAAATTGTTAAAGAGATTAGCAAAATGGATGAACTCATTTTCAATTAGATATTCAACATTTTCAACATACCCAACTCAAAATGAAACATGAAAAATTTGTTAGTTTCAACTCCAACACAACTTTTATGAAACTTATGAAAAAAACAATTGGATAAAATGGATCACCTGAAAGTGGGTCATTTTCTAGAAAAGTTGAATATAACCTAATAATTTGATTCCTATAATTGAATGGAATAGATTTGATTTTTCTATACGTTTACTTACCTGAAGCACAAGTGGGTGAATCTTGAAATGCTCTCAAAAATTCTTCAGACATGTGACACATGTTTGTAAACACTACACTTGAAAGATGTCTGACATAGGTTGCAGTAGATCCCTCTCTTTTAACCCTCTTACATTGATTTTTTAACATACTGCTACATAGTTTGAGGAACAGGTTGCAAGACTGAAATAGTAATATATATGCACTTTAAAATAGATCGTCAAAATGTGTCTAAATTCGATAATCATCAATTAGTGATTTTTCTATGATAAAAGAGTTCCATATAGTCAGGGTCGGACTGGACCGATTGGCGAGCCAGGGATGATGTCGTTACGAAGATCAGGGGCCTGCATGAAAGTGCCAGAGGCCTGCCCAGGCTGGATCCCGGATGGCAAAAGTCAGTCACATTAACTAGAGGACCAGTCCGACCCTCATTTTCAAGTCACAATAGTATACAATTGGTGATCCCAAAAAAAAATATTAATATTGTCTACAAAAAGATGGTTGCGACAACTCAACAAAGATCAAGTTACTAAAATCCTGCGTCATTTCGACATGGACACTAATGGAGCGGTATCAGAGTTGAAAATCAAATTGGAAGCAGAAATCTTCAAGAGTTTGCGAATCCCAAAGACTTGGACTTCACAACTCTGTTGAATCGATTGTACAATGATAAGTGTTCAACTAGTGCCTCGACCTGTCGAGATTGTATTACAATGAGAGTGAACAGTATTGAATTTTCATGCATTCAACTTATGGAACAGTTAAAAAAAACAATGAAAAATGGAAACATTTCATTAAAGACAAGAACGATAAAGTTACTTTTAGTATTGACATATTTGTTCCCAATGAGAGTGAACAGTATTGAATTTTCATGCATTCAACTTATGGAACAGTTAAAAAAAACAATGAAAAATGGAAACATTTCATTAAAGACAAGAACGATAAAGTTACTTTTAGTATTGACATATTTGTTCCCAGTCCAGATGAGAAAATTAATCAGAATGAACCAAAGAAAATAAAGATATTTTATGATTCCAATGTGGGAAAGAGGATTTTCTGAATAATTATAAACAAAATATAAGTACTGAAATAGAGCTAGTTTTGATAATTACTTACCTGTTATATAAGTTCATGTATATTGGGTCATACAATTGCTGTTTCTACATTAAGCTTTTTGTCAATGTAATACATAATGATTAAAGACTATTAAACCCTATACTAGAAATTAATTCGATTACCTTTTTTCAAATGGTTTTCAGGAACTCGACCACTGATTGGTCACCGACTAGCTCAAATAGTGGACGTGAGACATAATTTGTGAGAAAACAAAGATATGATTTCAAATCAAAGTTGGTTGCCTATAAATTTGAATTAGTTGAAACAGAATGAATCAGTATTACCTATTCGAAATACAACGTGATTCTGCTAGAATCAATGGGAAATTTCGTCGTGAGTTTTTGACCTATAACACTTGTTCTAACATGTGGATGTGGCTTGCATATGATGGATTCCATATGGAGAATACATATTCCAGATGAGTTCTTACCAGAGAGAAATACAGAATTATTAGGAATTTGATATCAGTTAAGTCTGGGGTGCATCTTAAGATTTATAGAAGTAGGTTTCTCATCGAATCTATATGTTTTATGGGGTGGCGAAGGCAAATTTTAAAAGCACTCTGAAAAATTTTCATTTATGACAATTGGCAAAAAAGTGGGTAAAAAAGGTGGTGCTCACTTTTGATATCGACAGACCAAGGATTAGAAAATCGCTCAATAAAGTGTAATTTGACAAATGATGAATTATAATCTTCATATAATCACCAATGGAATTGAGACAGTGGGTTATTAATATATATTCTGATGCATTCAATTTCCTTTCAATTCCACATATATGAATGGTATATGTGGCCATTTCTTGATGAATTTTTTTGGCGCGCTCTAGCAAAGCAAACATTTTTTCATTGAAATAAACTATTCACATATCTACATTTCATGAGTACCTCTATCTTAAGGGTATAGTAGCAAAGTGGCTTCTACTTCTGACAAGCGCGCCCTCACGCCTCCACCGTAAGGAGGCGGTGGGGAACGCCCTCCGTGATATTACCGGGTTGACGTTCACCCAGAGACTCAATTAAAAACAATAAGGTCGTGTGCCTCCTGCCGCAAAGACTTATGCACACCATTACATGTATTTGATATTCAGGTCATCCAAATGATAACATGGCTGTCGATGTGTTGTTTGGCTGGATACTCCTGGAAAAAGTTCGTGAAAAAACCAGAACAGATTGTCGATACAAAGTTGTCTATGCCAGATTTTTTCATGAAATTGCAAAGGGTCGTCTACATATTGTTCATGGAAAATATCGAGAGTTTAATAGATCAACCCACCGTGACGGCGGGATTGATTATGATAAGCTCTAACTGCCATGATATTACTAGTCAGCGGGCTTTTTGGGAGGAACAACCTGAAGGGTTTGTAAGCAAGCCATCGGATTAAATGCGTAATCGGCTCGACCTTCACTATGTCTTGAAACGCTCCAATGTCCTATGTTATCAGTCACAATACGATGCACCTTATTCTGCATCAATTTGAGTCTCTGCAACGAAGTACTCTTGAGGAGTCAGAACACAGAACAAGCGTACGGCGTAGCTGACCTAATAATTTGTTTATATATCAGGAGCTTGTTGTTTAATCACCGCTCCCGCTCTGTGGATTGCCAGACTTAAGTGCTCTTAAAAATTCAAGCGGTTGTCTAGGATAACTTCCAGGTACTTCGCACTCACTTTTCTGTCCTCCCACACACTTTTCTTGAATCGTCAATTTCCCGAAGATCTTCACGTCGGTAAAGGCTTTGACGTATTTTTCATCTTATTCCTCTCCACGTATGGTACAACTAACCGATATAGGTGAATCTGTATTTGGCGTGTTGCCACCTCGCTAGAGTAAGAATGGGAATATATGGTAATATCATCTGCATTAATGCCTACATTGGTTTTTGCGAAAATTAGAAAGTGTAGTGTAGAGAGTGTAGGTGTAGGGATAGACAGGAGCCCTGTGGAACACCTTCTTCCATTGAGAAATCCGTAGAAATAGCTTGGTGTATTTTAACCCTAAATTTCTGATAGACCAGATGGGATTCTAAGATTCTTATCATGTATAAGGGCATGTGTGCCGTCCACATTTTCGCGATAAATTCCCTTGTCCAAACAGTGTCAATCACTTTATGTATGTCCAACAGGACCATGACTGTAATCTTCTTTTGGAAAAGTCCTGGAGTAAAACTGCTCCAATGCCATCGCTGCCAGTTGTTTTGTGTAGTGGCATGCTTTTTATAGTGTCTCTCACCTCCTCAAAGTCGGTGAGGATTTCAGCAAGATCATCACCGTCCAGGCGTGGAGAGGCATTGAGGCGTGCTCTAGCGGTTTCAAAATTCATATATGCATTCTTCAAAAAGTGCTTAGTTTTCGAATTATAGTCAGGAAATTTAAAAGAAAACAAGTTTTGAGCAGTCTGGCGAGAGCTCAAAGTTGAAATTCTGATTTAATACCCCAAACAATATGTGGATATGAAGATAAACCTACTTCTATATTTAAAAAAAAAAAAGCCGTTTACGAAACCTGAATGATTGAAATAATATGGAAGTCAATAATAAGCTTGATTCAATTTCCAGATGTCACTAGTATGAGTTTGAACCGACTGATATGCCTGAATGAACTGATGTAATCATAGATTTTCACCTGCGTTGACCTTCCTAACTGATTTAGTAATCTCACTGCCCTTCTTGCTGCTCGTAAACCACCTTGCAAAGATTTATCGGGATTAACTTCAAGTTCCTTCATGAAAACTTCTGTGAGATTATTTTGTCTTTGTTCCACCTAAAAAGTATAATTTTTTGAATGATGTTTCTACTATTATTCAAAGCATTGTTTTCATTCTTATGTGAAAATAATTCAAATCACCTTCCTTTGGATATCAATCATTACGTGATCTAATTGGTCATTCGTGGTAAGACACTCATTAATATAATCGTTGGCTTTCTGTAATAAAACCAACGCTTCTTCAAAGTGTCTTTGTGCAACACATACATCAAGTTCTTCTGGTAAATCTATAAACCATTCTGGATGAACCAGTCCTGTATCCTCTTCTACCTCACCGAATGCTGAAAAAATTTTCACTAATAAATATCATAAAATATAGCATTATCAAGTGACCGAATCATAAAACGAATATCTTGAAGAATCACTATTTTCATAAGTCAAATTTTCTAATTAATCTGGAGTTCTTAGAACATTATTTTAGATATTTTAGAAGGCAGGATGGTATTAATTTTATGTAAACTCATAGTAAATAAATGCTAGGAGCTGCAATACTTTTGGTTTGAAAATTTCTGAAAACAAATCGCATGTTCTGCACTTTTTTCAACACTAATCTTCAAATGAAAAATCTATTGATTGAATCGAAAGCAAGAAAGTTACAATATTCTCGTATAATAACTTTTGATTATCTTATAAGAATCCTGATATGCAGAACAGTAATAATAATGAAAAAAATTATCATAATATATACTAAAAGCGATAGACTTAACAGTATGATTTTTGGAATTTGAAAAAATAAATAAATGAGTTTTTTTAAAACTTCACGATGTTTGGCTTGAATTAATGCATAGTCGAACTTTGCTTAACATTGGAAGGTGATCCATTATATTGGACTAGACCTTTATGAAACAAGGAAATGATAATTTTTCTAGAGTTGACACAACGCTTAATATTGTGTGGTATTCGTTGAAGTAAGAAGGAAGTTCTCCTTTCAATATTTTCTGAATGAAAATCATTGATAAATAGTACAATCTTGATTTTGAAGGTAACCAATCCAGTACAGAAAGCATTGTATTGATATGTGTTGTTTTCAACAAATCAAAATTATACACATATATACGAAATTTTTTAACGTTTCATTGCTGTTCTAAAAATGAAAGTTTTAATCAAAGTGTGGCTAAATCGTTTGTTCTATAGACTGTAACTAAAGTTGAATAATATAACTGAGAACGAATTCTCGGGAAAAAAACATTTTTTGATAATACTATTGTGTACATATTTGTACATATACTCAGAAAAAAATTACCGGTTTCTAACGAAGTGTTAACAAAGTTGAGTAGCCATAATATTTTGAAGTAACTATTTTTTCATAATTCAATTGGGACTTCAATGAATATCTCTAGAAATTAATTTTACATTCCAGGAAATTTTTATTCTTTACCTCTATTGCTATCTCGGAACGAAAATTACATTTTTGAATACGCAATAGATTTATATTCTCAGGCTGAAAAAAAAACAACAACCGTTTATGAGATATTTGCAAAAAAACTAAAAACAACTAACTAAAAATGCAACAAAATTTGCATTTTTGAATATGCAACAGATTTATATTCTCAGGTTGAAAAATATATCAACAATTTTTTGAGATATTTGCAAAATAACTAAAAATGAATAACTAAAAATGCAACAAAATCTGCATTTTTGAATATGCAACAGATTTATATTCTCAGGTTGAAAAACTCATCAACAGTTTTTGAGATATTTGCAAAAAAACTAAAAACGACTAGTTCCCTGTTTTGCTCTAGCACCACATTTTCAATTGTTCTTACCTTGATAATTTCAGTGACATGTTTCAAATAATGTAGGTTTTCACAGCAACACCCATCTCATGAATCACTTAGGCCGCTTCTCGAGCATTCATGCGACCATTTTGAGGTAGTATCGTACGTAGTATGCAATACAGTCACAAATGGAGGCAAGCATAATAATATCGCGGTCTGGATATTACAAATGAATACAAAATAAAATACTTTCAGAAAACATCAGTGTAAAAAATAATAATAATTGATCAAAATTAAATTCAAACAAGAAGTAAAAATGGAACATTCAATAATATCAGAAAGTGGTAAACTACAAGTATAATTCTCAAGTCTAAAAAAAGTGAGTGCCAATAATTTCATTATTTAGAATACCAAACCATACATTAAACCATATCTCTCTTAAAAATTACTAACTCTATGTACATTTTTTTGTTGCCTAGTGTATATTTCTGTTGAACCATTATTTGTAAATCTACTCTCGTCGCACCATATTTTTTTTGGAAATTTCATTATCCTGCAGTAACATTTACAAAAAACTTTTTTTCTCTGTTGAAGTCAGTCAAATTCAAATGATGAACTTTTCCGACTTGTAAGGCTTCAATTCATTCTGCTTCAAAATTATCTGAACTGATGTAGTGGATATATCCAAATTATGTGCAATCCCTCTCAAGGATACTTCCTTGTTCTTCGTTTTTCAATATTGCACGATTCCTAAATCGAAATACATGCCTAAGATCTCGTAGCATTTTTCAATATAGTAGAAGTAATAAAAAAGGAAACTGAAATTTCACCACTTTTGTTCACTGTAGCAATCCTGTGAATATCTGATTCAATTTCATAACGAGTTTTTAGGATACAAATCGAATAGGCAATTGTTTTTTGTATAATTCAGCTTTCATATAAAGTATTTGTTTCGAAAGCATTTTTCTTTCGTGTAATTCAATGTTTATATGGAAGTAGCTAAATTAATCTAATATACTTTACGATTGAAACTTGGTGATTCCATCGAAGCTGAACGAGACGGGGATTTTTCTACAACTGATTCTCTTTTTTGTTGCTCTTGTGCTAATCTCGTCTTCTTTGCAATATCAAACTTATCCAACCATTCTTTCTATAACCAACCAGCATTTTATATCAAACAATATGAAAAAACGAACAATTTACCTTATTTGAATTTGATGAACACTGAAACACTCTGGTATCCGGAAAAATCAATAATTTGAAAGCATGTTTAATATTTCCCAAATCCCTCACATTGACAACAGCTAGACTACTTAGATCATAAATAATTTCATAAATGTACTTCATCAAACCCCGGCTAAAAAAAATGAGAATATTATGTTTTTGATAATAAATGATCCTAAATAAAACAACAACTTTTACCTAACTAAAGTTTTAAGATTTCATGGCCTAAAATCAAATGGGAATTTCGGTTATCTGGAATAGATAACTGTGGTCTAATGAAGAAATTGCCTCCGAATGTTTTGCTCATAACTGCGATGATCATCTTCTACCGCTGAAGATGCCCACTGCAATTGTGGACAAAATATTCAGAGTCAATCTCTCCATTGAACCATAGCTATATATCTCTCATAACCAAAGTTCACACAGAATTTACTTCTCAAATAAAATATCTCATATAATTGGACGCGAAGCATCATAGTTGGAAAAAATGGTTCTTCATTACACGAGACTTGTTGAATTACCTGTTTGAGTTTCTGTTTGTAATCATAAATCCATCAGTAAACAAGTATACATGTACACTTTTCAATGCAGTATTTTCAGTCGGGTCAATCTCTAGTAAATCTCCTTCATACAAAAATATTCGTCCTGGAACTTCCAGTAATTCCTGCCATAAAAAAATAGGTGATTGAAGTTATGAATATTATTAACTTAATTTGAAAAAAAGGTAATCAAAATAATATGTGTTGTACTACCTTACATCCTTCAACTTTTTCCAAAATTGTTGCTAATTTTTGTTTGTTTTCTTCCTCCAAGTCTTTTTCACTAAGTTTAGTTTCACGTTCTATATTAACTGGTGTGCTATCTTCTAAAATGGAGGTAGTAGACAATGCACTTAGTAATAACTTTTGTTCTGAGAGCAAATGTGACAACTGGTACATTTCACTTTCCAAATCTAATTGAAAACTTAGGAAATATGTCAATAAAAAATCAATTCATGAAATCCATATCTGTGAGTTCAGATTTATCAGCCAAAGAGTAAACACCTATTTTGCTGCTGCTAGTTAGTACATGTGATTATATAGAACTTAACTATGGATATTACAGTGAAATGGTAATTCAGGATGATGGACAATGGAGAAAAGTAATGCATAAACGAAAACCAAGAAGACGTCTGGAAAGTGCCTCCAAAAGAAGTCATCCAAATCCAGAAGAAATCCAACGAATTATTTTGGGTTCACCCAACTGTACTAATTCCAATTACTCAACCTCCACAAAAACAACAAATAATAGAATTCATTCCAATCCAAAAAACCAACATTACAAAAACTTCTCACCATCAATGAAAGAAATTACCCATAAAAAATACCAGTTCACTTTCTTTCCAGCTGCAGATACAGGGTATTCCAGAATAGAATTCTGTAACATGTGGGAAAAACTATTTCCTCAGGTCACTGATGAAATAATTAGAACACAGAAATGATTCATTCTCAAAACAAATAATGATTTGAAGATAGTTACAGATACTCTTGAAAGATTTGTATTATTCAAGAAGATAAATCTGAAAAAAAATAAACACAAACTCAAAAAAATCATACAAAACTTTTATTGATTACCATAAACTGAGGAAAATGCTTGCGGAAATAACCTGGTTAAATGTCTATGAAAGTAATAACGTATATGAAGCAACCGAGTCCTTCATCACAGTCCTTAAACAGTGTATAACAAAATGCAGTCGGATAAAAAAAATATAAAGAAAACACATTAAAAGAAATCCTTGGATTTCAGATGGGTTGGTAATCTCAATAAATGAAAAAAATAAAATGTACCATGAAGTAACTAAAAACCCGGGAAACAATGAACTCCTTAACAAATTCAAATCATATACTGGTTAAATGTCTATGAAAGTAATAACGTAGATGAAACAACAGAGTCCTTCATCACAGTCCTTAAACAGTGTATAACAAAATGCAGTCTGATAAAAGAAATACAAAGAAAACACATTGAAAGAAATCCTTGGATTTCAAATGGGTTGGTAATCTCAATAAATGAAAAAAATAACATGTACCATGAAGTAACTAAAAACCCGGGAAACAAACTAAACAAATTTAAATCATATAGAAATAGATTGAATGATTTGATTAGAGCGGAAGTATAATTATTATAGAAGTGAAGTGGAAAAAAATGAGAGTTGCCCAAAAAATATGTGGCGTTGCCTAAATAATATCGAGAATAGGAGAGCTGAAGTGGAAATAAAAGAAATTAAACTGGGAGATAACATGATTCAAGACAAACAACTCATAGCGGAAAAGTTCAATGGGGTTTTTTGCCGATATTGGTGAAAACTTGGCAAGCAAAATAAAATATGAAAGAAAATTTTCACATAGGAGGGCTTTGAATTCGCTTTATTTGTATCCAGCGGAGGAGTACGAAGTGATTAAATTCATCAAAGAATTGAAATCAAACAAGGCACCAGGGATGGATGAGATTGGATCGAGCACACTCAAAGAATGTGTTTATAGTCTTGCTAAACCTCTTACATACGTAATAAACAAATCTCTCGAAAGTGGAATATTTCCTGAATGCCTAAAAATTGCTGTAATCAAACCAATTTATGAATCTGGAGACAAGCATGATGTATCAAACTACAAGCTCATATCTATTCTCTCAAATATCTCTAAAATTTTCGAGAAAATTATAAAAGCACGAATATACCAAACAAAACAGCTTGATTTCCGAGAAACAATATGGGTTTATGAATGGGAGATCAACTCAGAACGCTATAGCGGATTTAATTAAAAAACTGTACAACGCTTTAGATTCGAAGGAGCCCGTCATCTGTCTATTCGTTGATCTAGCAAAAGCGTTTGATACCGTCAGCCATCCAGATTTACTAGAAACCCTCGAGAACATCGGATTCAGGGGGATCACACTTCGATTGATGAAAAGCTATCTTGAAGAACAAAAACAATACGTAAGTATTAATGATGAAATGAGTACTAACAGAACTATAAGATATGGGGTCCCCCAGGGAACAGTGCTCGGTCCAATTTTGTTCATTATTTATATCAATTATCTATTCGACCTACCTATTCCTGCTGAGATAACCTGTTTTGCTGATGATACTGTATTCTCCTTCAAAGAAAAGAATTGGGATATCTTGAAAGTGACATCTTCATTCCCCGTAATCATGTAATATTTCAGTAGTAAACTACTCACTGTAAATCTAAAGAAAACCATGTACACACCTTTCACAAGCTACGAATCAAATCTACCCAACTATTCATCTATAGATGTTTGAATATCAGATGATATAGTACAACTCAAATCAACCAACACAGTTAAATATTTAGGTATTACGCTTGACAGTAACTTGAAGTGGAACACGCATATAAATAATCTGACAAAAAAACTGAGATATATGGTATATAAATTTAAATACCTAAAAAACACCCTTGACCAGAAACATATTAAAATTGTCTATCATGCATTAGTATCGCATGGGAGACATCTCCTTTATATCTCCCAGCGACCTGTCCACCTTCCTGGAAAGGACAGGATGGACGACGACCTAGGAGGACAACTCCTCGGGAGGATGTACAATGGGTCTCATGTGGCCTAAGTGCGTGGGCTTACACTCACCCTCCCTACTCTACAGATACAGAGATAGTATCGCATGGGTAGGGGTCACTAATTATTACCTTAAGAACTTGGAGACACTCCACAAGTAGATTATTAAGATCATTTTGAATAGACCCTATACTTACCCAAGCGACGATCTATACACTGAAGCCGAACTGATGGACATACGACAAATTTTTGCTCTAACATTACTGGTATATCAACGAAAAAATCTCAAAGATACTAAAACTGTTGATCACTTACATCATACACGTTATAGAATACATTCGACTGAAGTACCAAAAATGTCAAAAACTATTGGACAACGCAGCTGTACCTATCTTGGGCAAATCCTATTAGAATGAAATACGGAAATTATCCAAATACAAAAAGGATGAAGTACATACTAAAAATATTATAGATAACAATATTGAATATGAGTTACCTTCCGAAAAAGCTTACATATTTGCTAAAAACTTCAAAAAAAGCTACAAAGAAAGCATCAACTTGAACTTCGACCACAATCATTATCAAAATGTGAGCGATTGGTACAAAAACTTCTTTTCGCAGATACCCGTACAAGCAAATAATACATTCAATGTAGATGAAGAAGAATATTTTGAAATCTTATATCAGGGAAAAAACTCAGCTCCAGGGCATGACTATATCACAAGAAACATGTTGAGAAAGCTGGATTATATCATGGAGTATATCATAAAAAGCTATGAAATTTGCCTTAAAACTCATTATATACCTGACAATTGAAAAATGGGCACAATAATTACAATCCCAAACCAAACAAGGATCATTTCCTTACAGACAGTTATCGTCCGATTACTCTCCTGCCTGTAATTGGTAAAAATTTTGAAAAACTTTTATGAAACCGTTCACTCAAACGGCTCAATGATAAAATTCCAAGCTACCAGTATGGATTTACACAAGAAAGATCTACTATACATCCTCTCACGATTCTCCAGAACAACATTGAAGCAACCAAGGTAAACAACAACAAAACGACAGCGATCTTTCTGGATATGAACAAAGCATTTGATAGCATCTGGCACAAGGGTCTTTTTTTATTCAAACTGCATCAACTGGGTTGTCATAACTATCTAGTATATAGAATTAGGAATCTGCTAATTGATAGGAAACTGAGAGTTAAAATACTGAGTAGTTTTTCAGACGAATTTATACCAGAGCAGGGAGGTCCACAGGGTTCACCGCTCTCACCATTGTTATATAACTTAAACAGCTCTGATATTTATCATCACCAACAAGGGAATATCAACCACTTCAGGTATGAAACATATACTCTCCAGTATGCAGATGACACCGCCCTAATTGCGCACGATCAAACGCTAGACAAAGTTATTAACAATTTGGAACATCTTGCAACAATAACAAATAACTGGTTCAATAAATGGAGGCTCCAGCCAAACCCATCTAAGTCTCAGTTCATCATATTCAATCATCGGAATTCCGCAACTTCTCCAACAATCAACGTTTTCCAACATATCTTACATGCAAAATCGACAGTTAATTACCAGAAAAGTTCTTGAGACACAGTAAAACCTGTGGAAACACATTAATTCTAGCAAGCGAGATTATAAGTTTTCTATTCACAAATGTTCTGTTTGTTTTAAGGTTTTGCACATGCATATGCACAAGGCATATATCTGATTTTGTTGACCAGAAATGGATAGGACTCCAAAAGCTCATTGTTCAGCCTTATAAAAGGCTGTATCTCAGTCATAAAGTACCAGTTTTAGTCATCTCCTGATGGTACTAAATTGATTGGTGAAATGTGCATCAAGAGAAGGTTCTTTAGTTCTGGTACGTTGGAAAAGTGCTTTCATCAGATTTATTTCACGCTAGAGGTTCAAATTCTACCCATCAATTATGTTATTGGTTGTCTCGATAGTTCTGTAATGATAAATATACATTTTTCAACAATGAAATTTTGCAGTCTACCTATTGGTCAATCGAACAAGAAGTACAGTAGACCTGTCACATTATGGGCCTATCATCAATTTTAATCTGGACTATTTATATTAAGCAACATTCTCAAATAAATTTGAATTTTTTTTCCAAAATATGGAAAAAAATTCATGAAACGAATATATTGAAGACTTCGAAATATCCAGTTTAGAATGTGTGTTAAATATGCAGGAATTCAGGAAATTAAACTTGACTAAAATTTGAGGATGAAAATTAGATAAATTTTCTCTCATTCAAGTTATTCATTCAAGTCACACACCTTTCTTTAGATATTCTTTCAGAACATGAATGCATTTACTACCCTCTTACCGTGAAAACTATTGTTAGGCATTTCATGTAAAAATGTTTTTTATATTTTTTCATCATTGCTGTGGGAGCTCATTGTTTTTATATCAATCAATAAATTGATTATTCACAGAGAATACAAAGATGCCTAATTTACAAATATTGGTTTGATTAGACAAAAAGAAGTATTGCAACATTGACTCTAGCCAGTTTTTTTATGCCAGTGCTTTTGTGTGCTGTACAATATGATTTTCATGAATTTTGTACACTTAAACTCAAAATTTAGGCATTCTGCAGATGACAACCGTGAGAATATCTAACTTTAAGTTTAATTCAACAGGAGGAACCAATTCAAAACTTTTTAGGAGGTTACCAAATTTATGATTGAAAAGAAAATTCTCCTAGCAGATATCAATAATTTGTTTCTCATTCTCGAGATTGACAAAACAAAGAATGGCTCATTAAACCATATACTAGCGTTTATACTACTAGACCCTGATATACTCTTCACAATATATAAATCAGTAATAGTTACTTAATCTCTCTAACACCTGATTGATAGATGATATGTGATGAATATAGGGTAATGAGTACTTCTCATAACTTCAGTCCCAGATTAAAGCCAGATATTTTGAAAATATTTAGAACCGGGCAGGATAGGAACATGTACCGTGAGTGAAACCCTCTAAAGCGCACCAAGTTGCAAAGATTGGGACTGATAACTGGGAAAAAGTAACCAAAATATTTTGCATCCTTTTCATATATGCAATATTTTGTGTCGAAATATCACAACTGTGTAATTGATTTATTTTGTCAATATCTACGATGATACTGTATGATTCATATATTTGATTATTAATGAAGGTGACAAAAATTGGTATGAATTAACAAAGAAAACTGTGAACTTGAGGTTGAAATATCTGCATAGAACATTTTTTGATTTCCATCTGCCAAATATAATGTAAACAGCATACTTTTGTAGAAAATAACTATTTGAACTACTCTATCTTGAATTATAAATAGGAAAAAAAACTGGGGAAAGGATACGGGAAATCTCTTTTGCTGTGTCAATGAATTGCACATAATTTTGATAAACATTTTTCTTGAGATTGTTACTTGTTTCTTCTGAGAGCATTTGTATTTTTCTTCGAAGAGTTTGAAGTTCAGATCCACCCACATAATTATGAGATAAATCTCGGACATCTAAAAGATACAGAAAAACCAAAGTTGTTAAACTAATTTTGTATAACAATATAATTTCCTACACTTTTCAGGTATGAAATCCTCAGAACCCAATAACTGAAGATTGGGTTCTTTTCCAAAATCCATTTTGGAAATTTTAAGGACGTAAACAAAAACTAGAGATAAAAATAACCCAACAATAAATTCAGTCTTCTTCTCTTAAGTTATAGGTAATTTATCCATCTTCAAATATTGAAATAGATACAGACTTTCTTGAAACATTATTTTGCCTATCAAACTGGTCTACAATCGACGTGAATAGACTTGGTTTAGTTTACGACAATAGATTATGACAAAAAGGCGAAATGTGATGGAGTTGACCGATACTCAATGAAAATCCATGATAACATATTTAAGTAACTTTTTGAGAGAATTTCAATTAAAGAGTTTATGAAACCGCACAACACTTCCACTATATTATACTACCTTCTGCAGTTGTGCTCAATATTAAACCAAATTAGAAATTTTTATAAACAAGGTGTCTCATAAGTTATGGACCAAATTGAAAATCCATGATAACGTATTTAAATAACTTTTTGAGAGAATTTCAATTAAAGAGTTTATGAAACCGCAACACACTTCCACTATATTATACTACCTTCTGCAGTTGTGCTCAATATTAAACCAAATTAGAAATTTTTATAAACAAGGTGTCTCATAAGTTATGGACCAAATTGAAAAAGATGAAAGAGGAGGTCTTTTCGATAATAAAACAGTTAGTGTACCATAGTCAGGTCCAATTTCTCACCGTTTTCGAGTAATTATTTTTTTGAAATTTCTACGAAAAAACTAGTTCTCGTTACGAAAAATATTGTAGAAATCGACGGATATTTCACAATATAGTTGTAAAAATTTCGTGGCTTCCAGAAAATCTGACAGCTTCACTTCTTTTTTTTCAATTTCTCTGTTATTTAAGAATTGGCAATAGGGACAATACTGTGAAAATCACCTCATTCCGTAGAAACTACTACATTTTTGCTAAATAAAATAAAATTGTTATGTAAAATATTTTGTTGCCTAAGGTTTTTAATGCAATTTGTATTTTTATTTCTAACATGGAGTATTTATATGAGTTATAGTAATGGAAAATGTTAGATCAATGATGATACCGTGCTTTTAATAAGAAATTACATAAGACAAATACGCAGTACAATCAAATAGAATTTTTCGTCCTATGAAATTTTTTGTGAGATTTCAAAATGATAGTAGTAGATTATTTCCTACTTCTTGCACTTCACAATGAATTCGTTCCCGCAATTCTTGTTCTCATAGAGAACAATAACAGGGGCTGATTGATCTACGGCCTTTTCCCACCATGTTGAATACATTTTTTTTGTATTTCATTTAAATTTATTATGATAGAAAATAAAGACCTTTATTATTATTGGTATTATAGATACGCTCATTCATGTAACTCGAAAAATAACCATAGGGTTCAGTTCCGTAGAACGCGGAGGATGAGATTCCCCCATCCCTTCCTATACAACTTATTTGATAAGTATTCATTTTGAAAAAATCCACTATTTGACGAACAAAATGTGGTCGATAGGTATTCATTTAAAAAAATGCACTATTATACTGACAAAATGTGGTTGAACATCATTTGAATGAAACCCCAAATTTAACTCAAGTTTGAAAAAATCGTTCTCCCTTTACAAACGATAACCTTCAGAAGTCTAAACTTGTGCGACCTGAGTACTAAACTAACGAGGTCTTTCCTTTTAACCTGCGAATCATAGTACGGGTTGTAAGATACGTGGTGAAATATGATCGTATGTCCGTAGAGCTCGAGCCACCGTTCCACATACTGGTTGATCGAATGAGTACAATGAATCACTCACGATAACGCAACCGACTACACCATACCATCAGTACTTCTTCTAACAAGGGTAGCAGATTATTTTACAAAAATCGCGAAAACTGTTGCCTATATTATAGGTAGCGTTCTACAGTTTCGGCTTTTTATATGTACAAATTCATTTCAATTGAATGGGTGTGTGAGGATAATACTCCACAATTTACACTACACTAACATTTAATGCTAACAACTGTTTCGACACACTGTGACATCTCCCGCGCAAGTTATAACTCGTTGTGAGGTATTATTTTCACCCTACTCATTCAATTGTAAGTAGCCTCAAATGGGATACTCAGTGTGGCATTTGCCGGGTTTGTTGTTATACCGAAGAAAGAGCCTCGATACAGTGAAATACGCAGTGTGGTTTAATAATTTGTTTAGTAAATATTATAAAATAAAGTGTCGAGTACATCAAAAGTAAAACTTTACACAATAACTTGGATGCATACATCAATCTTTGGAAATGTTAGTATATGAAAAATGTTATATACTATACTGTTCAGTATAGTCCAAATCCTGAAGACACCATCTTGGTTATTGGAACGTGCATAAAGAATAGCGCTGCAGTTCTGGCTCATGGATGAATTATACTATTCGGCATATTTCAATTTTTGGGAAATAAAAAATTAATTTTACACCAAGTGATTCAATTCTACATTCAGTTCCTTTTTTAAGGTATTAAACTATATACTTATTATATTGTAAATATCAGAATATATCCAGAAATAAACAGACCTTCGAATGCTCACCTCTGATTTGGCTATATGAAATAGTAGGGTGACTAATGCCACATATTTGGTCCTGTTTCCAATAATTTTTTTTGTTTCGATTGAAATCTTTTTTATATAAAAAGTTTTGTACTCATAAGAATTTGAAATAATAATTTCAAATTCAAACACAAAAAGTAATGAATAGCAAGATTAATTCTTGTTCTCCGTTGAAGTTATGCTATTATTTCGTGATATTGTCAACTTAGAAAACTATAATTGAATATGAAAACCGCTATGAATGTAGTGCTATTTTTGCATATTTTACGACTTTCCAGTCAATATGAAATTTATTTGGATTGATATAATGAATATATAATTTGGTTTTTCTTCATAAAATGAGCATCAGGATGAGATACTGGTTACTTGAACATTCCAATTGGTAAATCAGTTCAACTTTTTACATTATACTGCTTAAATTTGTCATGATGAATGATATATTCCTTCAAACATTGCATATTCATAGAGTATTTCAATAAAGTCAAATAGAATAAGGAAATAAATAACTCAATTGCCTAAATTTTGTTTCATTATTAATTTAATTTTCCCAACTCCATCTTTCTCTGAATGAGTTTTATTGAATGATACAAACATGAATCTAAAAGCCCTGCTACCGTGTAGACTCCTCCAATAATTGCACAGAGATTGGTAACAAAATGGCCGAAGGATCTTTCCTTCTCTGAAAACTTTACCATTAAAGGGGACAACTCATACTGGAAGAATATACCAGGCATTCCAGATTCTCCACTCATTATGGATACAACTTTCTGATGTTTAGTTACAGAGAACTGATTGGCGATAATTATGGTCCCGTCTTTCCGAACATACGATGTAGGAACTATTTTAATGTAATACTGAAACATGGTGGAACCTGCAAGAAGCAAATAAATATTATTTGAAATTGTGCATAGACTTTCGAGTAATTGAAAAAACAAATTAATTTTGATTGAAAAGGGTATATTTTTTGGAGATATCATTTTTTGGGAAAGAAATATGGAGAAGTAGAAAGCCAAAGCCTTTCTTTCCCAGAAAACTAATTTTCTATTTTACATTCCAAAATTATATTTTATCCCCAATCAATATCAAACCAGTTTTATTAGTATTCATTTTGAACTACTCAGTAACGTGGTCGGTTGCACTACTAGAGATGAATTTTAAATTTAAAGAAGAAATTTTTGACGGTTGGCATATGTCATGCGTGCATTTCAATTCTAAATTAACACGTTAAAAAATCACATCATTCTGATATTTCACGCACTTTTTTGGCACACGTTAATTGAATAACTTTTTAATTGATTTACATATATTTGTATATCTTTGAAGGTGTGTTAGGGGAAAGATTGAGGTTATGTTATAAAACCATTTTTTTCCAGAAAAATGCCAGTTCCTGGAGGTGTATATCAACAACAAGGTCCTTCCTGTATGGATAGAATGAAAATGGGTTTTTTTCTAGGTTTTTGTGTAGGTATGGCTAGTGGGGCACTATTTGGAGGTTTTTCTGCATTGAGGTAAACGCCAATTCACCATACACATTTTTAATGTATTTTTAATCAAATCATATCAATTATGTTATCAATTGTTGAATTAGCTATTCAATAAAAATTATTTTATTGAGGATAAATTGAGTAGAGAACATTGCTCTTTCTCAATGTTCCATTACAGTTATAAAAAAGTCTAGAGATATACATTTCAAGGAATCGACACCATCTGCACAGCAGTGCAATACTGTTGAATTAAAGAAAAATATCTATTCCTTTACAGATGTCAAATTAGAGATTAATTATGAAATATTTCAATATTTTAGGGGTGGCTTAAGAGGAAAAGAACTGATAAATACTGTCGGAAAAGTTATGCTCCAAGGTGGGGGATCATTTGGAACATTCTTGGCTATTGGATCTGGGTTGAGATGTTGATGTTTCAAATATTTTTCAGAAATGTTTGTACTCGGAGAGTATGTTATTATATCTCCTCGCTAGTTTTAGTATCGAGTGTGAATTATGATGTGATTTACTGAAACCTGTAATAAATTTTAAGTACTCAAGTAGTAGTGGTTTCTGATGAGCATATTAATATTGGAAGGAAATACAGCTAACCATTGGTTTGAGGGTTTAACTCTACACACATTTGAACTACACCTGAGAATTCTTTAATTAGTAGATTGCGCTTGCCTGTCTACCAGACTTCCCGAAATTCTCAAAATGAATGTAAAAAGTAATCTAATTTTGCATAAACACGGCTCTCACAATTTTTCCAAGGAGTTTTCTGCATTTGTTATGAAAAATTATTTGGTCACAAAGTATGCAAAATATAAGCATAAAAAACGTGCTTCAGAAGCAAATAGAGGAGAAAATGTAATAAAAATGAAAAATAAGTGAAAAATCTGACACTGTCATTAGACTTGATGATAACATGATAACTGAAGTCAACTGGGTAATCAGTTCACAACCTGGTTTAAGAGTGATATTTCAAACTCTGAATATAAATATCTACATGGCACATGAAGTAAAATGAATGTCAAATTGAGACCATAATAATTGTTTGCAGACTTAATGAACCTTTTATTGCTTTGTTTTTACATTTTCATTTCAACATCTTCAAAAGACAAAAAAATAACCTCTGCTATTGAAAATTGGTTATTCAAATGTTTTTTTTTGTCTTGGCTACTGTTATTGAAGTAGTGTTTTGTCACTATACTGGTTGATTCAAACATAATACTGTAAAATAACGCTCCCATTGATTTACATTTTGACAAGTATTTGGAGCATGAACCAGTCATATATTAATAAGATATAGGAAAAGAATTGAAAAATAAGTAAAAAGCAAAACAAAATCTGAATTGTTTTAACCACAAATTGAAACAAATTTGTCCATGAGTTGACATCTATTAGTTGTGTTGTTTGTCGTCAGTTGATAAAATATTGCATCTACCGATGTCCTTTGTTACATACCCATGTTGAATTGTTGGGATACAAAAACACTTAATTTGTGGTGAGTTTTTTTATCTGTGATAGGCACATAATTTAATAACTGCATTATAACAGCAATAACTAGATACCATTAAAAATATTAAGGGAAAATTTATCAATGTCATTAGTCTAAGTGAAAAAAAATGTTTGAAATGGGTTTTTATGTTGACTGACTGTTGTTTCCACGAGGTCTTAGCTTTTAACATGCAATCATCAGCATGACCACATTATAATTCATTTATAAAAATTTGGTTACTTCAACTTGCACTTACCTTCTGTAGCAAAAGCTTCAGTATCTTTCAAAGGATTGTGGGTTTGACTTTCAATACTAGCACCAAATGATAAATGTCTAATTCTGTGACTGGTATTAAAATCAGAAGATGAGAATGGTTGAACATCGTGAACATGTAAATGACTCACACTAAAACTTTCACCAGGTGCTACATGAAAACTGCCACTCACTCTATTCACAATAAGGCTTCCATATATTTGACAACCCTGTGTAAATGCTGTTTTTAGTTTCTCACCAAGTTTTTCATCTTTACATTGGCTTATATTCTGTAGATTGTCTATCGCCCACTTACGTTCACGGTAAGCTTCTTTCACTTCTTCACAAGTGTTACAGCACCTATCTGCTGCTCCATAGCAACTACCACATTCAGTTCTGTTTGTTTCCTGGAAAATAAGTGAGATAACAAAAACATGTCTATTCATTTGAGCTGCATATATCATTACATATTTTACAGTTTCTAATGAAAGAACTTTTTCTTTACTGTTAATCGTCATTCATTTTGGATAAGTTTTTCGATATTCAGCTAACGTGGGTAGTTGGCATCTCTAGAAGTAAAACATTGAGAAACCCAAAATAATGTGCAGTTTAAGCGGAAATTACCATTTCTGCTTGAGGAAGTTAATGTGAAGTGAAACAGATGTTGTGATTTTATAAACCTTCATAGTGAAAATCTCGCAGTTAACTATATTTTAGTGAGTTTTAATTCGAATTTTATTCAAGTATCGGTCAGTGCCATTCAAACTGAATGTATACTTAAATCCAACTACTAGTGTTTGAATATTAGATAAACTTTGATAGAAATTTCTAAGCATATACATACTGAAGAATTTGATTTAACTTTAATTGCGATATCTTCTTTTTTCGGCTCTTCTATTGGTCTTCCTTCAAGATCTAACCTTCTTTTATAAATATTATGATTGATTTCTAAATGTTGCTCTCCCGAACTATCCATTGCATCTAATGCTAAAACTGAAATCAATATTAATAGTATATCCTGAAGAGCTGTTGTAAATGTCATTCTTACAATCACAAGAAATCTTTGGAATTGTAAAATCTAGATTAATTTGAATAGTGGGACTCCTAGATGTATCCACAAATAATTCTTCTGTAACATTTGGTGTCATGTAGTCGATGAGTTCAGACCAAAATAATAAGGCCATGATAATGATACTAATGATGGTAACTGAAACAAAAGTTTTTGACATAGTAAATTTTTCACACATATAAAGCACAAAAGGCCCCTCGCACATATTTTTTTTAATTGATAAAAAATAATCTGATCGTGTATGCAGAATATTTTCCGAATAGGAAATGTGAAGTTACAAGAGATTTATGCGTTGTGGCTTTGGTGGGTTGTCAAGTGCATTTTCGAATACTTGGATCAGCTAAGCAACACTGGATTGAATTTTAGATTCTGTCAATGTCATTATTGTGGGACAAGTTAGTCAGGCAAGACTTCTTTATTTTCCCCCAAACACATTTTATTCGAGATAATAGATTGAATCATAGTTGAGGGATTTTTGATACAAATTATCCTGAAACATAATTCTTTTAACAAAGACATGTTTGATTTTGGAAAAAAAACATAAAGCTCAATTAACACGTTTGCAGTAAGGCCGTGTATGCCGCTGTGCATTGAGAGAAAAGGCAGAATACGCCATTCAAGTACAGACTGATTAAAATCATAAGCAAAATAGTCAATGCTGATGTGTATGATATGCATTACTGTCCCAGAAAAAAAAATATTCTGAAATATTCAAGTTGAATGAAATTTGAAAGAAGAGGTTGTGCATCCAGACAAGTAACTGCTACCATGTTAAGAAATAACTTCCCAAAGGCATATCAAACTGTCCCAAACTGTGAAAGAAACTGAATCTGTTACATTCAGATGTAATTTTTCTGTGGTATGGCTACTACCCTTTCAATCTGGTTGATGAAGAGTCATCCTCTTCAATTAATAATATACCTATACAAACTGTAGATCATTGATAACTAACTTGTTCCACCTCCATACGTTTGAACTCTTACGTCTTCGAGTGTTTTTGGATAAGCATCGAATCTCCTAAGCTTTTTTAAAACCTCCCACATATTAATTGTCAAAGATTTCAAAATGTTTAATGACGTTTACAAATTCGTTTGCATTCTAACATAAAAAATTAAAATATTAGGATAGTTAGAAGGTTGACAGGTCTTCTTTTTTTCTTTACATAAAAAAAGCATTGCGAAAACCACGGGCCACGGAGTAGTCAATATCTAGGTGTCAGTCCTTTGTGTTTTGTATTTCGAAGGTTAAATTCATTGTTGCCATAAGAAGCCGTAGCACAGAATATCTCAGTAATCACAAATGTTCAAATATGAGTTAATAACTTACCAGTAAATTCACAAATAGTTGAGAAGTGTGATATGAAAATCATAATTGGTAAAACGGCATTATTTTTTTATGTCAACAAACAATGAGGTCAACACGGTTGGTTGTTAAGCCAGAGAATTATTTACAATTCTAATTCAATCAAGAGTAATTGAATACCGAAGAGACATCCATGTGGGAGATTGATGTGATGTCATAATAACTACGTTTAAAATATGTTTTTTCCGTTAACCAGCTGTCGCACCCCTATGTCGGCAACCTTAAAAAGTAGAAACTTGTGCGAGCTGAGGACTAACGAGGTCTTACCTTTTAACGTGTAATTCCTAACACAATATTACAAAGTTACTCCTTTTCAAGATCTACACATCTTTGTATTGAGGTAATTTTTTGAAATTGATTGCTTTCTTCCTTTTTTTGGAAGATTCCCAAATTTTCCGTATTAAGATGAAGAAGTAGAAGGCCAAAAACTTTCTTTCCCAAAAATTAATCTCTCCTAAAAATATACCCTTTCAATTTAAACAAGATTCCTATGACTGGGATTTGATTAAATGAGTGAATGAATGTTATTTACGTACTGTAATCGATGACATGGGTGGATTTGACCCATTCTGTGACAAAAAATCGTAATTATGAACGAATCGAGGGTTCTTTCTTATAATGTTATCCGTACGTATTTGCTACTGGAGAGCTGATAAGGCAAGTGTCTTACGGCGAAACATCGGATGTCTAGCAACGAGGATGGCAGTGTTTCATGTAAGTGAAATTTTACTTCTTTCATTAATTATATTGTGTAGACATCCTGTGAATGCTATCTGATTCGATCCCATATGAATGTTTGGAATACAAAAAGAATAGAGAAAAGTGTTTTTTGTTTAATTCAGCGTTCAGATGAAAGTATTTGTTTCAAAAGTATTTTTCTTTCGTGTAAAACTCAATGATTATATGAAAATAGCTGTTTCAAAAGAGCTTTTTCTTCTAGTTCGTGTCTGAAAGTTACTTCTTCGCATGATACATACACATATGTGTAATCTTTGTATAGAGTTGATTTTTTGAAATTGATTGCTTCTTTCCTTTCTTTGGAAAATTCCCACATTGTTATTGGGGGAATCATCAAACATCATACAATTGCACAAGTAGGTACTTCAGTCAAAATGTCCTCATTCTCGAATGAAGAAAATCGAGATATGTTGAAACTTAATTATAAATTTGATAGGAATAGAACAAAAACAGCACAAATTTATTTTCGGAAAAACCACAGTCGAATAGAACATTATTCGGTATTTTGGACAAACACTTGGCTGAGTACAGTGTGTTTCAAAAACCAAGAATGGAGTATGGAACAAAATACTAGAAATAACTTATTACCCGAAGGCAAATAATTGTTCTTTCCATATTCGAAAAGAAATATAATCATTTTTGGTACTTTTTTTTAGATAAATGCAGATTATTTCAAATCAACGCATCCAGTCTCGACAGAAATGGATGCGCCACAGACAAGCGTTTGGAGGGAATTCAAAAAAAGTGGTTTGAAATGTTATTAAGATGCATATTTCACAAAAAATACATACAGGTAATCCTGAGAGAAGAATAGAATTTTGTAGATAGCTCTCGAATACGGTAGACCCTACAAACTTCTTGAAAAACTTTATTTGGACCGATGAAAGTACTTATTCAAACTATGGTGTTTTTAATAAAAATAATGAGCATATTTGAAGTGAAAATAATCCACGACACTTCAGGAAAGTCAGACCACAAGTTCGGTTTCATTTGATGTGTGGACCTCATTTCTTCTCTAATACTTTGAATGGGGAAACCTATTTTCGGTTCGCAAGAAACGAATTCGAAAAATATATGGATACGTTTCCTTGTTAATTATAACAGCTGCTGGTTTCAGCATGACAGGGTCTCTCCGCACAATAAAGAGCAGTTTGCGAATATTTACACCAATGATTTCCCAATAGGTGGTTAGGAAATTCTGGGCCAGTGGGGGTGGTCGGCAAGATCACCTGACCTTACAGTTTTGGCTACTTTCTTATGGGACACTTTAAAGAACAGAATCTATGGAGAGCAAGAATGTGACACAGTAGGTGAACTTAGAGCAAATATTGCCACACAATTCAGGTCTATCAGAAGAAGGGATGTTGTTAGGGCTGCTCTTAATTGGAGACGACTAGCTCCTTTGTGTACTCAAGAGGAAGGCCATCATTTTAAACACCTGTTGTAATTTGTTTGTGCATTTTTAACAAGCTCATGATTTTACTCTTGGTTTTTGAAACGTAGCGCACTCAGCCAAGTATTTGTGCAAAATACCGAATAATGTTCTATCCGGCTGTTGTCTTTCCGGAAATAATCCAAAATAAATTTGCGCTGTTTTCGTACTATTCCTATCAAATTTATAATTAAATTTCAACATATCTCGCTTTTCTTCATTTGAGAATGAGGACATTTCGACTGAAGTACTTGTGCAAACTTATGATGTTTGATGAGAGTGAGACAACTACCTAGTGTTTATTAAACGAAATTTTTCGATGGAGTCATGACCATCTCAGATGAAGTAGAGTTTTTTCAATACCTATGGTTTCAGAAGAGCAAATCATAACAAATTGAACATCAATGAAATCAGAGTGGGAAGTACTATTTTTCTTTAAAAAATCAATGTATAACGTTCCACTGTTATCGCAAACTTATATCCCCACTATATAATTATGAGTATGACGGAGGTATGTTGCCAGAACTCCTTCTTGACAACCATGCTGTCTAGGATGATGTTTTATATTTCCAATATTTCAAATGGAAGGTGTATATTTTTAGGATAGATTGATTTTTGGAAAAGAAAGGTTTCGGCTTTCTATCATTGTACTATCAAGTAGAAGTAGAAGCAGCCTTCGATGCGCTATTTATAGACACGCGCCACCTGAACCCCGGCCGGTATCGCCGCAACCGCTATGTTCCGTATACAGAACAGGTAATATGCTGGGAAAGTTAGTTAGAAATAATAAAGACGAAACATCTAAATTCGAGAAATCAGAAGTACATAAATTATTTATAAGAAATAGTTCATAACTCAAAGTGGAGGTAACTAATCAGAATCAAAACAATGTCGTCTTCATGAAATTTTCACATATATATTTGTAAATCAGAAATTAATGGCAATTAAACATGTTTCGAGTGAAGTGAGCCACCCATCTTCAGTAAAACAAGAAACAGCTACAAAGAAAAAGGATATGAGACACACTTAGTGCTTTTGACAAAGTAATACTTACATTATAAAAATTATCAAATTAACTTGGGTTGAACAACTGAATAATAACGAAGTCATACCTTGGTGATTTAACACATAATGCTTGCCCTAAAGTATATATCGGTCAAACTGGGGAAACATTTAGGAATCGCATTTAGGAACATCATATGAACTATGTAAATAAGAAAACAAGTTCAACATATTCAAATCATCTTTTAGAATAAGATAATATCTTTAACGGATATTTCGAAATTTCACACATATAGAAAAAAAAAGTTTGAAGCCAAATCATTTGGAAGCAATGGAAATTTATGAACTTGAATATTCAAACAGTTTACTGAATGACGAACTGGATTTAAATAGATCACCCTTCTGTATCTATATCTGTAGAGTAGGAAGGGTGAGTGTAGACCCACAGCACTTAGGCCACATGTGACCCATTGTGCATCCTCCCGAGGAGTGGGGATCGTTCTTAACCGCATAACACCCTGCGGCTATTCAGCTGTCAGCACGATTCCTTACACCTTATAGCTTGGGTAGGCTGGTCCAGGGTGGCATGTTTTGTAAAGGCTTTGGGGAGTTTCAGTTCCCCTCACGCTACTTATTTCTGCCACTGACCAGGAGTCCGGCGACCCCGTCCGTAAAGCCACATTGGCTTCCCGGGCAGGGCCTCCCAGTCACCTGGCCGTTCCCCTATCCGCCACCTGGGAACGCACCCGATAGGTAGCTCAACCCACGGGTAGATCACCCACTTGTTTTCTTAGAAATTGATGTTATCCTAGTCTTCCTAGACACATTATTATTGATGTAGAATTGATATAATATGCTCTAGGTAATCATAATTGAGGATATACCTCAGGTATATAAAAGTTGAGTAGATGCTTTAGGTAATTATGATCGAGTAAGTACCTGAGTACTGAGTAGATAGTTCTCAATGAGATAACATGGAACTTATAAAAATTAGAGTAAATCATTAACTTATAGTATATATTATTTACCACGAAAAAAAGCGTATTTGTTAGCGAAACATGTGATAGTATTGAAAATAAAGTTTGTGACGATCAAATCGTAATGTGTAGTTTATGAAATTATTATGGATCTTTATATCAAGTAACGGCTGAATCAATCAGAAAAAAAAGTAAAATTCTTCATGATAAATTTACGTAAATATTCAAAAACACGCTCGAAGGAGCCATTATATGGAGAAACACGTGTTGCGATTTTGTAAAATTGTTTAGTGGAAATCTTACAATAAAGTATTTTTTGAATACGTTAGTTATGGATTTTCATCAAGTATCGGCCAATTCTATCATATATCTTAATAAATTGCTCATTTCTGCGTTGGACTTGGACGATAATTTTTAACATCACTCATGCCTCCCCTATATTCACTGTCTCGCGAAAACGTAACGGCAATAGATCTTCAGTTAAGGCTTTTAAAACGGTTACTCGCCAAAAAATGTTTAATGCATACGCATGATTTTCAACCGGGGGATCATATATCGGTAAATATATAATTTTCGATGTCTTGGCAACACTAGTATTTGACAAATTGATCAATCATCTCGCTTAAAAATGCCTAGGTTGAGTGAGTGAAATCTGTCAAAATTTGAATGAAGTGAACAACAAATTGTTCGAAAATAAAATGAGTATTCTAATGTATATTCTTCGAAATATGAAGCATTCACCTTTTTCTCCTGCGCAGTTAAATTGGAATGGTAAGATTGGCCATTAGGCAGAAGTTTTCTTCAAAAAACTTGCTCAAAATCTTATTTAGATACCAATAGACCAGGGTTGGCAATGGGTTAATACAGGGTGTAACTAAATAAACGTGAAACATTTAAGGAGGTGATTCCTCATCGAAAAAAAGGTAGGATCTATATATCCAGAAATAAACAGACCTTC